AGTATAGACCTTAACCCCGTGTAACAGTATTTATAATCAAAACATAGAGTATAGAAATAGAGAGAATTAGAAAAGATAACACATATTAATAAAGCTGAATACCCACTTATAGACTAGTGATTAAGTTAAAGATTTACTTTTAAACTAGCATCTTTAAAACTACTTTACTAATTTATACGTTACAAAAACGTTATTTATCTTTCTACATCTATAACTCTATAGTTAATAATAGCTTATAATAATAAAAAATGGATATCTTCTTCATCGCGTAGTAATATACTATTGGATAAGAAATAAATAAAAACTTTTTTATCTTAAGATTTTGTAACGGGCTGAACGCCCTTTGCCTCCCATACTCGTCTAAGACCTCGTGTACTCCACCTGCCCGGCCCGATTGTTACCCCAGTAACCAGCATTGTATATAGATAGCTACGTAGCTGAGAGCTTAGCTCTCTATCGAATACAATCTCTTGTTACCTAGGCTTGTCCGATCGTGCTTCCGAGCTTAAGACTACTCCCCTTACAGATTTTCCTAATACGCATCTACATTTCGCTCTTTATAGATTTGCCTAGATTTAATCTTTAGCTAACTCTAGCTATTTCAGCATGTATATTCGTTAAAATAAAGTATATTAAGGAGTAGATTAAGTGGCGTATGGTCTACTCCTCAAGTATCTAAACCAATATATGTAGTAAATAGAGGGATAGGAGTTAAGTAATAGACAATTTGAACGCTAAGCTATTATAAATAGTATAAGAGTAACTCTCTAGGTTAAAAAATGTTGATAGTTTTTAAATAATGAAAGTACTCTGTAATGGTAGATCACGAGAGCTGAAGCCTACACCGACAGTAATGCTACCTGCAGGAATTGTCCACTTCTGCGAAGTGACATCCCAATAACTCACATCACGCCGCGCTAAGTTGAAGAGCACAGATTTGGACTCGTTAGGGTTCAGAAGGATCTTCTCGAAGCCTCGTAAACTGCGCACTGGCATTCCCGCCTCACTCGGATACGAGAGATAGAGTTGAGGGACAGCAGCTCCCCGCTTTGGACCCGTGTTAGTGACGGTAACCTCAACTGTTACCAGAGTCGCCCAAAGCTCCACATTGCCACCGGGATGTATTGGTGCATTGGGATCCGGAGTACGCGAGGCGTTAGCTACCACAATCTGAGTCTTTGGATTTGAAACCTCAAAGGTGGTGTAGCTGAGCCCAAAGCCGAAGGGGAATGCGACACTCTTATTCTCGGCATCGAATTCCTTGTAGTCTATCAAATTACCTTCTACAAAATCTGCTTGCCAGGCAACAGGTTTATTCGTATCTTGCAAAGTCGTGCTGTTCTCGATGTTGTGTCGATAATCCATCTCGTTGTTCGCAATGGTATATGGAAGCTTGCCAGATGGATTCACGTCTCCCCAAAGAATGTCGACGATGGATTTGCCTGTTTCCTCTCCAGGCATGTGAGCTACAAGGATAGCGGTAATGTTTGCGTTATTTTGCCAGGGCATGGTATTCGGTGATGCACCGTGAAGAACAACAACCGTGTTGTTACATACACTAGTGACACGTTCCACAACCGTTGTGGAATTCCACTCTGGGATCAAAGTCGTGCGGTCGGAGCCTTCGCTAGCCCACGACTTAAGGAAGACGATGCAGACGTCTATTGGTACTGGTGCTAACGATGACAGCCCAATCTGTGAGATGAACTTGTTATCCGTAATGTACTGGACATGAGCGCCATACGACTGTCCCCGAGATTTTATGGCGTCAAGTGGAGGGCTGATCTGGTAGAAACGCCCAGTGCCACTGCCACCACCAACAGGAAGAGTTCCAATGTCGAAATCATCACTGTAGTACTGGCCAGTGGTGAGATCCGCAGCATCGTTTCCGAAGACAGCAATCTTCATTGGCTGCTGAAGTGGCAGTGTGTTGTTGGTATTCTTCAAAAGGACAGTACCTGCAGCACCCAATTCTCTAATCAGCTGAGTGGATGCTGCGCTCCGAACGTTTACCTCGGGGCCATAGGTGTAGTTGTAGAGGTAAGCTGACTCTGGGAAAAAGTTCAGCTTTGGCGTATAAGCATCGATACGAGGATAGTTGTTGTCTTGACCGAGGTAGTAATATGGCGTCATGATGCGAAGAATCATATCATCGAGTCGTCCAAGGGCGAGGGAACCATTATTCCTGTTATCATAATTAGCCAAAACAAGACTCCAAGATTTCGCGTAAGCCGTACACTGCCATGGTAACATTGGCACCAAAGTAAGTTGGCGTCCCAGATGTGAAACCGATGCCTCCGGGCATGTCCATGTCAAGTCCAGCTTCAATCGCCGCGACACCAGTATGAGTCGCAAGCCAATCAGACATTACATAACCCTGGAATCCAAGCTCTTCCTTCAACAGGCCGTTGAGTGTCTTGGAGTTTTGGCATCCATAGCTTAACTTGTTATCAGCGGGAAAACATCACCGAGGATCCCAGGATACTCACCTTCCGTTGATACGGTTGTAGGAGCACATCACAGACGCAGATCCGGCTCTAACTGCGTTCGCAAAAGGCCAGAGATATGTCTCGTGCATAGTCTTTTTGAATTAGCAGGCTTCGAGATTTGTGTAGACAATGCTTACCTTGTCATCGACATTCGAGCTAACAGCTTCGATAGTAACACCGTTCTCGCTCACGGAGGGATTTCTCTGTGTCTCTTGCTCATTTAAGATGAAGTGCTTGACGCAGGCTTGAACTCCTACGCTCTGCATGCCTTCAATCGTATCTTCGACAAGTGCACCAGAAAGGTAGGAATCTGGGCTAAAACCCTCCCAGTTGCGGCCTCCGAAGGGTGAACGGCCTAGCGGTCCAACGACGGGCCCGAGGGCCACATGCGAGCCCTTTCCGCGGAACTCACTAGCCATATGGACCCCACGTTCCCGAGCGAGTGAACGGTCCCATGAAGCAGCGACAGTGAGGCCGGCAGGAAACACAGATGCATCGATAGCTTGGCGGATAGCGAGAGGGCCATCTTGAAGACATAGGCCGCTGAAATTGAGGCGAGGTATCGGGCTGATGTTTCCCACGCAAGGACCCGGAGTACCTGTTAATGACAGATTAGCAGTCCGCCCGATTGTGGGTCTGTGTGTAGTATTAACGTACCAGTCACCATCTGAGCCTTTTCTTCAAGATTTAGGTTGCTCAGGAACGTCTTTGCCTTGCTCAATGCTGCTTCCCATCCCCCAATTCCTGTGATGTTTGCTGAGAAAACTTTAGTTTTTATACGACGAGAGGGACAAACAGCCAACTTACGAGAAGGATACACCGCTGGACTACCTCCATATTGACTATAATTTCCATACTGAGCACTCTTGGACTGTGCGCTCGCGAGTGCGACGAAGGAGAGTATCAAAGAACCTTGCATCATGTTTACATGAAGATATCATAAACACATGCATCTTGCTTCTCTTTTGTACCTACGACAACCCCCATCCCCACCTTACGAACATACGCTAGTTTACACCGGGTCTTTGACCGGGATAGACTTTTATCCCCCACATGATCCGATTGCGGGGTTAATAGACCCGAAAAGCCATGGTCACTGCGCGTAAACATCTCCAAGGTGCCTCCGTTCCTCGGCAGATATTCGGGAGGCGCTCTGCGGAACGTCACCAAGATGCGGGGAAAAGCCAAGCGTCGAAAAGCTTCCTAGCGTTGGCCCATCATTGAGAGCGTGGAGGAATTAAGGCTTTTAGCCTCGGCGGCTAAGATACAAGCGGCATGGCATACTGACATGTCCTGCAGCGGCCAGGTTTGCGTGCGTGTGCGGAGATGCTCATACCTTGGGGATCATAATTGCATTGGTCCTTTTGTCTCGCTTACTTGTGTAAATGTGGTTTATGAGGGAAGGGCGTTGCGTTGGTACGATTGCGATATCGATAGCGAGGCACATAGGTGGATGGCAGGCCATGAACAAGGATCGTGAACGTCACGTGCAACATGGAAAGCAGCAGCACTACTGTGGGTACCGCTCTTGCATGTGCGGAGTATATACTGCCGAGGATCAGGAAAAATGGTGCGTCATTGTCTTGATGCAGGGAAAGGCTGCGACCAAATAGCTACACGAGGCATGTACACTTCCGGATATTACGGGAATAAGACTACGATATCCGCGTTTACACTCGATACACACTCGCTTCAACCAACCAAATGAGCCGAAGTGAACGATTTAAACTTCTTTACCATTCCCATATTCAAATATCAAAGCACTAATGTCGAAATTTTCAATCGTCCGAGCCTATATGTTCAGCTCAGTATATTAAGCCCAGTTTCGAGCATACTTCACTCACATTGACCGCCATTACATCTTAATTCTCATACATACCGTTAATATCAATCAACAAGCTCGTCCCACAGTGGCGGAGCGATTCGGATAAACCAAGAGGTAGCCGTGGACAACACAGATAGAACAGCTGCATTGCATGACTGTGTAGTCTACCAGATGCGAAGACAGTGTTATAGTAAACCTTACTTCCCACAGCTAAGGAAAGTGGTTAGGACAAATGCGCAGGGGAACTCCAGATACCACAGTGCCACTAAACTGTCTACGACTCCGTGCGCGCCTTGCACGTATCTGGGGACTATAGGTTTCGGTGAATGACGCTGACGCCATGACGTTCAGATGGGGTATTAAGAAGAACTAGAGCTTGAATTACTGGCATTTGCAGGGGTATGCTTGAGGCGATTTGCTGGCAGTTTCTTCTGACATCTTACCGGCAAAAAATCGAGTCGAGATGTAGGCGCGACTTGGTTCGTCAAGGGCGGCGTTGCCTTAAATCCCGAGGGTCACTTAGCCTTTGCCGCTAGCACGCGATAGTAACCGGCATATTCCCTCTGTGCCGGTTGGTTTCCCACACCGCCGTGTAGGAACTAGTGCGCGGGATATACGGCAATAGAAAATGCGGCATGAATCTGCGGACGTACCGCACTATCGACGCTTCACGTAACTTAGCGGATTCAGCCTAAGCTTCCCATGCCGATACAGCATCTTTGATTTCTATCCACACCCCACGGCATGACCCCAAGGAACGCGTACCCAGTCAGCTCGCTTACTCGACAGCGTTCTAAAGCTCTTCCCTTGTCAAAGTCTCTTATCATCGTTATCTCACTCTGGACACCACACAATAAATCCACTAAAAGGTTTAACAATCCATCTTTTCTAGAAACAGCAATGAAGTAATTGGTCACTGCGACGATATTGATAGGCATTGTCTCTTCAGTTACTGGCACTCAACTTCAGTATTGTCGTGGTGACGAATCTTTGTGGATAGACCGATGGCTTGCACTATCATTTATAGCTTACGCTGTCATCTAGTTATATCAGCAAATTTCAAAATTTAAAACGGTTATGCCATGTTTTGCACCGGCTCGAGACGGACATGTCATCGATGTTCGTAGTATACTAAATAGCACAGAATAAAAGGTTAGCCCAGTGCAATGAATATCCGAACACTTGACTAATACAAGGAGACGTCATTATGAGCATTCGGACGACCGAGTGAGTAGGCATACTGGAATGTGACCTAGAATTTGACTTACAAAAGAGTTCAATAATCACCGCTACACGCCTTAGCAACCAGATGACACGCCAGAACACTGAATTACCAAGACGTAGGTGGAGGGAGACTACCACAATGCCCAATTCGTTTGTTATAGCTGCGAGGCATGTCATTGTAATAGTGCCAACGTAACGTCGAAGAAACAGGGTTGGATATTTCTGAATCAATACGACTATGTCATTTCAACTAGTCATCATAAGAAGCTAATCATTTTACATGCCAACTACGGTGTGTTTTCTAAATGCTGAACAAAAAAAAGGGCCAATTCTCACAGATTTCAGATATATTTGAACTCGACATAAGAATAAGTCATTAAGTAAATGGAATACCCTCTGAACTGGAGCTGGTTGGCGATGACAGAAAATGAGTTGGTATAGAGTAGGATAGCTTTTAGGATCCGGGCCAGCTTTCTTGTATCTATAGTTTTCTGTCACTATATGTTTTAGTTGTTATGATGTCATTAGGTGTCATTGAAATTTAAAGCGGACATACTAAGGCGTTTAGGATTCATTGAATCATCCAGCTCTCCTTAGTAGCAGTTGCTACTTTGTCATGATAAGGGAAATATATCGGACTTAGAGGCATCTCATCACCGTAAGGATATTCTAGTACCAGTAATAGAGAATGCTCACTTAGCTGATAGATTGTGACTTTAGGTAGCATTCAGATGATACTTGGCACTACATGGCTGGCCTCGATTGTTTTTACGCCAATGCGTGGTTATTTATATCACGTGCGATATCTCGAACTTGGACGCGCAATTATAGTCACTGTCTGGCATCGCCAATTTGGTACATCGAGCATGTCTAGCGCTTGGATGAACATCCTCCTGTTAGTAGTGGCCTTCTTATGCTCATTGACCTTCCTACTACCATAGAAGACGAGGAAGGTCTGGAACAAGGATTTTTGAGAGTAAAGCACGACATGTAACTGTATGATACATTAACACGAATAGAATAGTTGTATTGAAGGTGGCGTGCACTTTTCCGATTTTTTCAGGGTTACGATATTACCGCTGCAGCATTTTTTCGAATAGGCTGTTTGCCTCATTGGACTAGACTATTGCTAGGGTTGCAGCTCTTATATCTGTTTAACCGCACTCCCAGTAGCCTGTTTGTCCGAATGTTAGGATCTGTAAAAGATATTGGACATTGACATGGACCGCAATCCTTACGCCGAAGCGCTCGTTGTGGAGCTTTTCATGTCGCCCTGTAGTGTTTTCGACCATCATCTTACGTTCTCTTTTCTGCACAGCGCTAGAGATTTACGTGGCAGAGAACCTCACCTATAGTCAGATCCTCTAGTCCTTTATGTGTAACAAGTGCTGCTTATATTTGTTGGCACCATGCCGCGCACCATAGTGTAGCACACTACTGCGAAAGCGAAGATGGCCAAGGTAGCCGTAGAATGTGTATCAAATGATTATAAAAGTAAGCGGGTACAAGCGCGAGTTGCTTCGGGGCGCATCATCCGTTGGCTTGAAGGATGAAACCCCTGAGTCTTGCTTTGGGATCGAAATTCACCGCTCGCTTTCTTGCGCTGCTCACTTCCATATACGTTACACTCAAGTTGTGGTTGTCTTCCATCAAGGATAAAGGATAAGGGTTTGTTCCAACCCTTATGGATAAGCCCTGCAGACCAAGCACGGGTCACAAAAATAGAACATAGATTAGTTCTCCATAGAATAACTGTCAGGGAAGAGCAGGCCGGCCTATAGTAGGACAGAGCTTTGACCCAACACTGCGCAAATTGCACTTGTTATGCCGCCTTGACCCGTGCTGTTAGGGTTATGCCTCGACAATGTTCTCCAAGCAGTTGTCCAAGTACGGCTGCAAACACTGCCAGCTGTTGGAACCCACCTTTACGAGCGAAGAGTAACATCGTCTTGTGATCTTCCATCGTGTTCAACTAGAGGCGTCTGTCTCCTAACGTAAAAGTATAGTTTATGTAAGGCATAACCTCGGCATAATTGTTTTGTGGAGGCGACATTACTGTTTCTATTTTGAGCAGTGCGCCACTCGACACGATAACCAATCAGAGCTATGTATCACATCCCACTTTACCTTTTATGGTTACTTGCCAAGGTCCTCGGGTATGCATAGTGGCAATGATGCGTCATTTCCGCCCAAAACGTTCTTAGACCGTCATGGGTGGGGGGCACGCTACAGCCAGTGCTGGCCATTCTAGGGTCATAAAACTGGGGATACAATAATTCATCGCTAGATGAAGTCATAACGTTGCACTTTGGTCGTCGACGCCGAGCGTGGGCACTGTTCAGCCTCGCTGGGTACAAGCTTTCATTGTAACGTGATGTAATAAAAGAGGAGGAAATACGAGAGGGTATTGGTATATATGAGAGATGGGATGCTGCCCTCTGTTGGCCTCTATCCAAACATCAACTCATCAACTCTACACTAATACTTAATCACTACAACTACCACTTTCACACTTCAACAACACCACCTCCAAATCATCAACATGAAGTTCACCACCGCCGCCGCCGTCGCCTCCATGGCCGCCATCTCCTCCGCCCTTCCTCAGGCTTCTACTCCCTTCCCTCGCCCCGAGGCCGGCGACGTCTTCCGTCTAATGTCTCTGCGCACCGGCACTGAAATCCAGTACGGCAACGTCCAGGCCAAGGATGGCAACCTCGTCATCAATTCGCCCGATCAGAACAACAAGACCTGTGCCATCAACGGCGACCGCGAAAACGTCACCAGCGGCATCAACTACGCCTCCTTTACGCTCGACCAGGATGATGGCAGCGTCTACATCTACACATTCAACCCTCCTCTCCAGCTGTACGTCGACCGCAGCGGCATGGGCCAGGGCAACGTCCGCTACTCCACCGGTGTCCAGCCCATCGGCAAGAACCAGGAGCGCGGCCCCTTCAAGATCAACGACGAAGGTGACCTAGTCTTCGCTGCTGGTGGTCTGACCGGCGACGTTGGCTTCCAGGCTTGCCCCGGCGCTGTTGGTGGAGGCTGGAAGATTTGGCTCTCTGGTGTAGACAAGCCTGCTGGTTCTGAGGGATGCACCCCGTTCACCATGAAGGCGCTGAAGGAGACCGAGACCAAGAAGTGCCTCTACTCTTCTGCTCCTGCTTAGATGCTGAGCTGGTAGAGATCTTTGAACTGTACAAATTGACGATCTGAAGACAGGACTTCTGTTTTCTAATGTATATGTATTATCGCGGTTGAGCGTCTGCATAATTTTTCGTTTATGATAACTAGAATTGGAAATGAATACGTTTATCTTTGCATTGCGTTCTTATTGTATTTCTTGTTCTGTCATCAAAGTAGGACCAGACTAAGCTGGCGCTCGCATGAGAACCCCCGACTAATCCTTTAGACCACATGTAAGTTATAAATAGGTATTCGTTCCTCCTGTGTTGAGATCACATGAGCGGTCCGCATATACCGGTACAATTTCAGATGGGCGACTTCGGTCCCCACGTGGATATTCGGGTCGGCAGTCTGATGGAGGGATGAAAAGTGAATCGCAGAGTGGCCCACCAACAGCTTAGCGCGATCGCCCTTGTACTTCATCACTTTCGCGTCCTTGACGCGCAAAGGACAGGAACGAAGGAAAATACAGTGCACCTCTTCAGCCTCAGGATTTGCATGTCAACCCCAAGCTGTTTTAGGAACCAGTTGCGGATGTGAACGGAAACGAGCGAGTCAGCCCCGTGTTCATCTATGGTCATACCCGCATTCATCTGGGCAGGGTCAAACTGAAGCATGTTGCCCAGGGCGTGCGTACAACTCTTCATCAAAATTGCTAGACCTTCTTTTGGATCCTGGATGGCCGCCAACTCCACCCCAACTTTGATTTTCTCGTCGGCTTGCTCCTGAATGTTACCCTCTTCTTGCGCACGTTCTTGCTGAAGGTAGCCTGATAGCCGTGAGTCTTCATCTCTCTGCTTGCCTATCCAGTCGTGGTAAAGAAAATCTCCGAAAGGTAGAGCAGTGTCTTGCTTCTGAACGGAAAACGTAGCCTAGTCATATTAGGAAACTATTGGCGATGAAGGATTCCTGCAATCCGCCACTCCGGCGATTTCGCACGAGGCTTGGCATATAATGGTTCGCCGCGCTGTAAGCGGACTGGCCATGAGTTCCAAAAATCGACGTTTTGGACGAAAGCATTATGGAAAAGTCCACCGCCTCATCTTCACCGAAGAGCTCATCAAGGTTGCAAGTTCCGGCCACCTTCAATGCTCGCACCGCTTCGAAGTCGTTTCAGAGTGTGTCGACGAAGGGACGGTCCCGAAGTACCATGGCACCATTGATGATACCTCTAGTGGACGGTAGAGTCGATTTGATCTCTCTGTTTACCTTTTCCAAGCCCTCCTTGCTTGTAATATCCACTGATACAGCGCGTAGCAAAAGTCTCTACTGAGACATGAATCCGAACACTCCGGCCGGGATGTTGGGATGTCAGCTCGTTGACACGACGTTTCGAGCCCTGTTTTCTACCATCCATCGAGAAATAGAGATCCCAAGACTACCTTTCATGCCACATCGAATCTGACTCTTATCAGGACCGAACACATCTTTCTGTCCCTTGATACTAGCGTCAGTGGTGACTTGACTGTTGGTCACTCGATCTGTCACCTCGGTGGCTTGGCAGTCTTTGGCTGCGGTCCGAGCATTGAAGCTATGCAGAGGAAGAACTTTGGGAATTAAGAACGCACTGTCTCTGAGTGCAAGAAGGGATTCGTGAGTTCAGAGTATTTCGCTCTAATTGGGCTGATCCGTGATGGTGAGTCTAAGAAGAAGGTTTGCCAGCGGAGAAAGGTCCTCACGCATGGAATATGGTAATCAAATAACGGTGGATAGATTTCTGGTCGGGAAGGGACGAAAGGTCATCCATAGGTTTACAAAAGGTCGATATGTAAATGCCGCTCTCTAATCGCACGAATAGATTGAGAATCGAGACTGCGTCCTCTATCTCTAATACCGAAATATCTGTGACACGAGCTACATGAAAAATAGAGTTTTGATCTTTGATAGCTACAACGAACCTCGAGTCCGTACCATGGCTCGCTCTAGTTAAAATATCTTGAAGATGACACTCTTTATCTCGCAGTCCAGTCGGGTTCGAGATCCACAATCGACTACTAAATACTAGACGAAACACTCCTAGTTCCAAGAATTGAAGTTCGTTGCAGTTATATCACAGGAAGAGTAATGAGTGAGTATTTCACGCCAGGCTACTTCCGGTTCCAAGTATTACGGCTCGATGTAAAATACAAGAAAAGTAGCAAGTAATCAAATTATCAACGGCCATTTCCTATTCTTTGTATCGCGGCTCTGTGCATATTTCAAGAACAGTAAAAAGGTAAGAAATTGATTGACGGTCGCTTCAAGTTCTAGGTATTGCGGCTGGGTGTATGATCCAAGAGGAGTAACAAGTAAGCAGGAAGTAGCCGATTGCTTCCGGCGCTAGGTGCTAGACCTCCAACGAACCAATCCAAGGCCTCATCACAGCCTGGTTCTCCGCATTGTGACGTTGAGTAATGTAAGTGCTTATTGCTAAGAACTTAGCGTGCAGAATGATTCAACGCCCAGTGACAAGCACAACAGTCCTCTCATGTCGATTCTATCACCGCTCAGAAAACCAATTATTTTGAATCGTCTCATCCTTTACAATAATCATCGCAATTCTTTACTTTACTTCATTGATATCCTTAAGTTTTTTAGCTTTAATAGAACAATACAAATACTAACAAAGTTCTATAACTACTCTCCTTGAACTCTTCTCCATGCTAATTTATATTGATGATGACTTGATTCGGACCAAGAGTTATGCTAGTTGACCGACAGTAGTACGATGTTTCAAAAGCCATGTCGGCGTATATAAGGATTGTGGGGGGTACGGTTTCGTTTGTATCCTACCTAGCAGCTTAAATCTATCAATATCATCAACCTGGACCAACTCCCTTTTTCAAAACATCGAGAATCCTCTCACATGCGTTTCGTTACGATTGTGAGCTCTCTGGCTTTTGTCTCAACGATTGTAGCTCAACGTGGAGTTGTCGGAGGTAATGATCTCAATTGTCTAACAAGAGAATGAATAACCAATCAGAAGTTAGATGCGTGCACGGCGGGCAGTAGTTGCTAGTCGAATCGATGCAGTAAGTTAAACCGTGCGCTGGAGATATTGAAATCTATGCTGATGATTTGTAAGATGGCGGAAGATGCGTTGGCTGTTTGACAGTTGGAGCGCCTGGTCTTCAGATAGGACGTGAGTTACCATATATGACTTTAGGGCTAATCTCTAGATCTATTATTGATCATATTAGAATATTCGAAACAGCTAATATTGTGTAGAGGAATGCCCAGGAGTTGGTCGTGATATTTGCTGCAGTAGCCGTTGCCGAAGTAAGCCAACATATGTTACTAGACTACTGCATCTTTCGTTAACCAGTTTAATCGCAGGGGATAGTTCTGCTGCTGGTGGCTTTAGATGCCAGCGTATCTATTAAAGCTCGCTATAGATATTGGTATCTTGGTACCAAGATCGAAGGAGGTTAGGTTTGCGGCTAGGGTACCAATAGAAGTACTGGAGCTATGTCTCAGAGTAGTGCAGAGAATAAGAGTCCCTGTTAGTTTTCTTTACCACCTCGTATATGTGCAGGTCTTAATAAGATAGGTGGGGACTAGGCTATGCCACATTCCTTTGATCTTCCCAAGCTTGTTGGTATGTTAGACAAACATCTAACAAGGCAACAGTAAGAACGGATAATCACCCGAGCTTTTCCCAAATTTACTTATTACGTAGTGTGTGCCATCGACGGTTGCTTAATCACTCCATCTATCTAGAGATCCAAGAACAAGATCCGTGGTTGCAACGTCACAACTTCCACACCAGCACCTTTCACAAGCATAACTTTCTTACTATGGATCTATGGTTCGGTCGAAAGGGGAGTGCTCATTGAAATTCCTTTCAAGAATGCATGAGGATCTTGGCAGATTTCGCCTCAAGCGATACCTCACCCGCATCTGCCGCAGAATCGATCCCGAGCTCTGTCCGCACATCGTCGAAGCCTGGAGATTTGGATTAGAAGCCCTGTTGTTGTTGCTAGATACGGCAGTCGAGTTCTCAGAAACGCACGACGTTATTATGAAACTCCTTTTCGCTATCTGTGATAAACCACTCTCGCCAAACCCGGTTTACTATTGCCTCGCCTTCGTGTATCGGGAGAATCACGATGACCTGTCGGGAACACAATATCTTTGGAATCCAGAATATAATTAGCAAGCGCTGCTCACACTTGATGATAGATGGGTCGACTGCAAGGTGTTCACCGTGAAGCTGGCCGAGTCGGAGTTCGATGACAGATCTTTCATTATTAGTTTCTTTTCTCTCCGGGAGATACACGAGACAAATCTAAAATCACAGAAGTTGAAGTTTGAGAAGAATCTTTGTCCAAGTTCACTCAACCATTCTGCTATCACCACTGAAGAACTCATGGTCTACGATTTGGCGGCAGCTACCAGGTGGGTCTCCACACGTGGCCTAATATATTGTCAAGAGAAGCTTTTATTTCCAGATACTAGGATGGCGAGAATCTCGATTCGCCTGATCATCAGTCCCGCATGTACGCTACCACCAAGGAGGTGTTCACTGAGGCCGGCCCGTTCCGACCCTCTCACTCCGTCCGCCTGCCACAGCTCGGCTACGAGACTCTCTGGAACATCACCATAGTGATGCGAGATCTATTTGTAGTTTGTAGTCAGCTGATACATGGAGTTTGCAAATGTTGAAGGCGACGCTCTTCGCTACGAGCATGCAACATCCTCAAAGCGAATACCATCATCAGCTAGATTTTGTCGTTCAGCCAACCCAATTCGCTGTTGTACCTCATTGCACAGTTGGACTGGAATCGAGAAGTAGAATTCTACTTTACGCGCCATTTGGACTGCGCCAATGTCATATCACGATGCATAGATAGAGAGTTGCAATGGTGAAGATGTAACTCCCACAGTTCAAACCTGGCCATCGAGATTGAAGTGTTTGGCACAACCTTAAACGACAGAATTCGCTTTGCTAAAATACATGACAGTTCTTCATATACAAAGAGCGTAAGATAAGTCAGGTCATTGACCCAAAGTCCCTCATAACTGCCCAGCCATCTTGAGGCAGTAATGAGCCTACAACGCTGTCCACGACGAAGCCAAAGCGTCCGTATCACTTCCTTCCACGCGATAGAATCCCAATGCCTTCAGCATTGGCTTGTCATCGAAGCGATAGAGATACACCGTCTGCCCATCCGAAGCAAAGTGCTGATACTTATGCCATGATGGGATGCAGAAAGTATCTCCACGCTCCCAGGTTAACTTCTTACCTTCTACCTCTGTGTACCCTGATCCTTCAACAACATGGTAGACCGAAGAAGCTGTCTCCCGCACTGGCGGAGAACTCTCCCCTGCGTTAAGCCGCTCCGCTGAACCGCCGAGTATTCTGCTCACTAAATCACACGTGTTAGATATGGCTCTCATCCATGATTTTGGAATCTTATCCCACTTACCCTCTGTTCCATTGGCCTGAAGATACGGCAACGAAACCCACTTCCCCGGCGCCTTATCCAAATTCTCTACCATCCTCGCCCACGGAAACACAATCGGCGAAGTATTCGAATCCACGTTCTCCGCTGGATACCTTGCCGCAGTGTGATGCTCTACAAAATGCACTGGGAAATGGACGAAGTTAGGGAGATCAAGTCCGTCAAGCCAGATCATAGGGCCAGAGCCGTCCTTGCCGTGGTCGTGCCAATTCCAGGTCGGGGTTAGAATAACGTCGCCGCGCTTCATGTTTACGCGGCGGCCATGGACGGCGGTGAAGCCGCCTTCGCCTTCGATGATGAAGCGCATGGCGAAGGCAGTGTGGCGGTGGGCCGGGGCGGTTTCGTTGGGCATGACGAGTTGGAGGCCGGCGTAGATGGTGTCGGTGGTGAATGGTGCTTCTTTGAAAGGCGTGAGTCGAGATTCATTACTATCATGAGGGGTCTGAGATCGTTGAGGTACGGCGATGTCCATACATACCCTTGTTAGGATTCACTAGCATCAATACCCGCCTCTCAGCTTGCTTCTCCGTCACCAACTTCCCTGCTCGCAGCAAGTCTGGCCGGATCTCCTTGTACTTCCATAAATGAGGGATTGCTTGGGGGTTGGGCAGTGGAGGGTTCAACCTCTTCATTTGGGTCCAGAGTGGTGAAACGGCATGCTTTTGGACGTCGGAGAGCAGCTTCTCTGGAGAGTCATCTTCACCATTCAGATGTGGGACCTGTGTGGTCGACAAGACCTCAGTCATCTTGCTAATCGAAATAGGATAATAGTCAAAGATGGTCAGTGAAGTGTGGATTGGGGCAGGAAAGATAAGGTAAGCTATAGATCATCGATTACCGAATTCGAATTTATATATGCAAGACCACTTAGTTTACAAATATTGGATACCTGGATATACGAACGCGCGTTTCTAAGCCCGCGGAACGAATGCGCACCTGCTGACGGAAGATTCTGTGCTCTGGACGCATCGGAAAGCACTAACACCAAACGGGGATGTGCGAGGCCGGGCGAATCATGACACTGGATACAATTCCAATATCATCTATGCTTACAAAATGATCGACCGACGTTGTGTTGCAAATGCCAGGGCATCATCGGAGCATGTTCGTCGACCACGGCGATTGGGTAGCGATCCTCCGCACGCTAACCCCCGAGGTCCGGCTCGTTTCCGTGGGCTTTGCAGCAGCCGGGACCAGCAGTTGCAGATTATTGCACATAAAACATGCCGAGAGACAGTTCTACAGATGTACCCAGATTTGTCACTACCCCGCTTAGTATTACTTTCGTCATACGTCTTTCTCTCAATCATCCTTCGTCATGGGCATTCCCGGAGCATCTTGGAAGCGACTGATTCGCTTCCGTGGCGAAGATGGTGCTGAACATTATGGCGAGCCACAACTTGAAAATGCTCAGGATCTCATGTCAAAACTGGAAACCGGCTTAGAAGCAGAGATTCTTGAAGGCACCAGCCCCTTCGAAGTCAAAAGCACCGGGAAAATCGTCAAGGTAAAAGAGATCCTTCATCTCCTCCAACCAAAAGATGTTCCCACCGTACGCTGCATCGGCTTGAACTATAAAACACACAGTAAGTACAATTTCAAACTCATCTACAACATATCTCACCACCTTCAACTAGTCGCGGAGGCAGGTCGCAAACCGCCGCCTTACCCCTCCCTCTTCATCAAAGCCAACACCTCAATCGCCGGCTGGAACGAAACCGTCCCAATCCCCAAAATCGCACAAGACGACCAAGCCGACTATGAAGGCGAGCTCTCCATTGTGATCGGCAAGACGGGGAAGAACATCTCCAAAGACGACGCCATCGACTACGTTGCTGGGTACGTATCTTCCAACGACATCAGCTCCCGCAAATGGCAGCGTGATCCCGCGTACGCAGGAGGCGTCCCGCAGTGGTGCTTCAGCAAAGGATTTGACAAGTATGCACCTATTGGCCCGTCGATGGTGTCACCAGCTGTGGTTGGGGCGGCAGACAATCTCGAGTTAAGGACCTGGGTTAACGGGGAGGAGAGGCAGAAGACTAATACTAGCGATTTGTTGTTTGACGTCCGAACGATTATTAGCTTTCTGAGTCAAGGGACAACACTGGAGAAAGGGACTGTGATTATGACGGGGACGCCGTCGGGTGTAGGGTTTGGGCAGGCTGGGGGCCCGAAGTGGTTGAGGGATGGGGATGTTGTGGAGGTGGAGGTAGAGCATTGCGGGAGGACGAGGAATAAAATTGTTTATGAGTAGTTGTTGGAGGGGTCACTAAGGTAGTTGCGCCAGCGTGCTAGAATACATGATTGTCGAATATTTTTACTTTTACTGTGAAGTTTTTTTTTTTTCTGTAACCCGATTATGGCACGCTGGGGTGTGGCCTGCCATTCTTTTCTGACATAATTGACTCGATACGTTATATAGCAATTACACATAAAATAAAGTCAAGTAATACAGCAAGTAGATAGTAACAAGTCAGGTCAGTTGCAATACATGATTGCGCGCATCTTATGGGCAGATAGAAATTATGCAGCAACAATTTACAGGAATTTGATCATACCGCAATGCTCGATGCGATTCGAGACGTGACGAAATCGGACAGCCAAACGTGAGTTTTTGTCCATTTCGGGCCGCTCAAGAACAACACCAACACGAAGTTAGTGAAATTTGTTCAGGTTACTGGTTCAGAATCGAAATGCGATAATGATATGAAAATCTCACACCCCGCAGATAATCTCCTCGTTGCATGAATGCAATGGCACGCGCAGCTTCATCCAAAACTTTCGAGCATCTACTGCTGCCTACCATTGCTACCTCGCCCTTCGGAACCACCAAGTTCAATCTCCCCGCAGCCCCAGAATCACCACTCCAACACCCAATCCGACATCGGACGAATCACAAACCCCACGGAAGGAAACGGCTCACCGTGCAAGTTGAGCTAAATCCTAGGGACTGCTACTAGTTCGGTTTGATGCGGCGGTTCAACGTCGTTCGGTCACGCCTAACGCGTATTCCGAAGCGCGCCGGAACTAGACGCGTTGCGGCATGGGGACCCAGCGCCATGTACTATCTGCATATGACTTCATATTGAAGGGTCGCAACAGGGCTTTCTGAATCTGTATCCTCTCGAAAAGTTTGAGAACCAACACAATCATGAGTCAAATGTTGGTACATTGAGCAGAATGAGTGCCTAGCATAGTGCTAATTATGCGCAGGAAATACACAACAGCGACTGCGTTCTTCGAGGCATTATGGGAGGTACGAAATGTAGTCAATGTTCTCTCGTGATGACATTCTAATATTGCTCCAGGCCGGTATCTCACACGTTTTTGTTAATCTGGGGTCTGACCACCCTGGAATAATGGAAGCGATTGCACGAGGAAAGAAGGACCCGACTGGAAGCTTTCCAAAAGTCGTCACGTGCCCCCATGAGGTGAACAATTGCAGCAAGCTGGGTGAAAGAGCTCTCTGACGTCCACTGTAGACCGTTGCGCTATCAATGGCTGACGGCTTTGCTCGACTTACCGGTAAACCTCAGTGCGTGATTGTGCACGTAGATGTCGGTACCCAATGCCTCGGTGCTGCTGTACACAATGCTTCCGTTGCACGAGTCCCAGTACTGATATTCGCGGGTCTCTCACCCTTCACACTCGAAGGTAACATTCGAGTCTTCTCGTCCTAAACCTAAAGCCCCACATTGACAAAATCTAGGCGAAATGCGCGGCTCCCGCACAGAATACATCCACTGGCTCCAAGACGCCCCAGACCAAAAACAAATAGTCCAACAATTCTGCCGCTATACTGGCGAAATCAAGACGGGCACAAACGTAAAGCAAATGGTGAACCGCGCCCTCCAATTTGCAACCTCTGATCCAAAAGGCCCCGTATACCTCACCGCCGGCCGTGAAGTCCTCGAGCAAGAAATTACGCCTTACAAGCTCGACCAAACCGTCTGGGGCCCTGTATCCCCTCAACCCCTTGCCCAAGACGGCGTAGCAACCATCTCCGATCTCCTAGTAACAGCGAAAGAGCCCCTCGTCATAACCGGATACTCAGGCCGCAACCACGCCTCATGCGGCGCCCTCGTCGCCCTCGCAGACACGGTCCCTGGTCTTCGCGTCATCGACGCCCTGGGCAGCGATGTCTGCTTCCCGTATTCGCACCCTGCGTCCCTGGGCCTGCAAATCGGCGGGCACGAGAGTATACGCACCGCAGACGTGATCCTCGTCGTAGACTGCGACGTCCCCTGGATCCCCACGCAATGCTCTCCGCGGCCCGACGCAGTCATTATGCATATCGACGTAGATACGCTGAAGAGGAATATGCTACTTCATTACATCCCTGCCAAGTACCGGTACTGCGCCGATGCGGAACTCAGTTTCAGACAGATCCAGCAGTATATTTCTAGCCATGCGACGTACCCCGCCGTATTGGCCAAGGAACCGTATCTTTCTCGTCGCGAGAAGATGGTAGCAGAGCATCGAGCCCGTCTAGATAACCTTGCAGTTATTGCTGCGCCGCCTGCGGATAGAAGTCTGCCGGCGCATACCCCGTACCTGGCATCGCAGCTGCGCAACTTGTGTCCGGAGAATACCATTTGGTGCCCCGAGGCGGTGACGAATGCGTTGCCGACGTGCAACCAGCTGCAGGTCGATACTCCGGGTTGCTTGATCAACGGCGGAGGAGGTGGGTTGGGGTGGTCAGGAGGAGGCAGTATTGGAGTGAAGCTCGCGTCTGATTATTTGGCGGGCGGGACGGGCAAGGGCGGATTTGTTTGCCAGATTGTGGGCGATGGAACGTGGATGTTCGGGGTGCCGAGTACGGTCTACTGGATTGCGAGGAAGTATTCGATTCCGACGTTGACAATTGTTTTGAGCAACAAAGGTATGCTTACTCAAGTTTGGAAAAGGTCTGGGCTAATTCTTGATGCAGGTTGGAATGCTCCACGCAACTCACTTCTCCTCGTACACCCTGATGGCGTTGGCTCAGAGGTTGATAACGAGGGAATTGGAATTTCGTTTGCGCCTACACCAGATTATTCTGGTATTGCAAAAGCGGCGGCTGGGCATAATGCTTGGGCTGGATGTGCGAGCAGTGTCAAGGAGTTGGACGAGTTGCTGCCCCAAGCGATTGAGTCGGTGAAGAACGGGGTTCTTGCTGTCCTGGAAGTGCGGTTGAAGGGATCTTGGGAGAAGGCGAGTCTTTAGGAGGCATGCAGCTTTATTGTGTAGAATTGAAATATAAGTACCACAGCATCTTCAAATATCAACTATTCATATTCAGAAGTTGAAAAGACTGCCTGACGGCGTTGGTAATGTGAGGGATGCGATGATATGGCAAATGAAACATCAGATTTTGCAATTGGTAGAAGGCGAACAAAATAAATTTCATCTACTCTCCAATCGCTGTTGTCCTCCACAGCTCTCTAACCTTCTCCTTGACCGCTTCCGGATAAGAACTCTCAAAATCCACCGGAATCCAGTTTCTCCGCCCCTCATACTCGGCCGGCAACAAGCAATTCGTCACCATCTTGCCTCCCCTTTTCCGATCCCCCCTTCCGTGCGACATATACGGCATTATTGGCAACCCCCTTACATCCTCAAACGGGAAATCGTCCAACCCCGGCCGCGCCCTCGTGCTGAGCGCCCAAATGATGTCTTTAAAATTGTACACATCGATGTCATCGCCGATGAGGAAGACGCGGTTGATGAGCATTGAGGCTTTTGAGGAAAAGACCAGGTTCCCGACTTGTTGGCTGAAGGATACGGCGTCGGTTTTCAGGAGACCGAGCTGCGGAAGGGAGACTTGCAGCGCGCACCAGGTTCCCATTGTTTCAAGGGGGCAGTAAGCATCAATTATGGGGAGGCCGTGGGATTGGCAGAGAGTGACCATTTCGGCTGAGGCGAGGGAGGCCGTGGTGTGCTGAGTGCGTGTTAGTGAGCTTGAAGGGAGTGAAGGGTTGGTGGGCTTACGGATTCATCGACGATACGGCCTGGGACGGAGACGGGCAGGATGGCGTCGTCGCGGTATGTTATGGCGTCGACTTTAAGGAGCGAGCCTGGCCGTCGCTCGTCATCGAATTGATGTGCCAGATAATCACCAAAGGGCCCTTCGTCACCCGTCTTGGTAGTCGACAGTGTACCTTCGAGCACGATTTCGCTATTGGCAGGCACGAGCAGATCATTCGTCTGACACTTGACCAGATCGAGAGGCCGTCCTAGCATGGCACCAACGTACTCAGCCTCACTCACACCTTCAGGAAGAGGGCATGCTGCTGCCATGGTCGCAGCAGGAGGCACGCCAAACGCAAGGGCCCATGGAACGTCCTTGCCCAACTTCCTCCACATTTCCATGACCATGTGATTATGCTGTCCAGGGTTGATGAGGGCGACCAGATTTCGCTTGTCGTAGACCTGGGCACGGAAGATGGACCAATTGGTCCACGATCCGTCAGGAGTCTGGAGCATATGGACACCATACGTCTGGAGAAACTTTCCGCCGTCATGCTGGTGCAGAAAGGGTACTGGAAGAGCTTCGAGGTCGATGGCATCGCCGAGGATCTGATTCTGCTGGCACGGTCCTGTCGGGACGACATTGGGAGGTATGGGAGCCTTGTTCTTGCCCTCCTGACTCCGATGGCAGATCTGCTTCCAGGTCGCGTCCTTGGGGAGTCCAAGATTTCTGGCGACACGACCGAACCTCTCATCCTCGTTCTTTCTCAGCCCAGCGGCGTTGCTGAAGATGCGCCATAGCCCGTTGCGCGCGCCTTTGACATTGTTGAATAATGGAGCCTTTCCATTGGTTTCACTGACACGACGGGCGGTTGCTCCAACCTCGAGATGTGGATCGATCTCGGCGTCGATTTCAACCAGGTCATTGTCAGCTCGCAATACGTCGAGGAAAGCTCGAAAATCATGTGGTGCGCTTGGACTTTCACTCGCCGGAAGCGCACTGGACGTGCTTTGGGCAGCAGCAGTAGTAGCCATGAGACGTCGATGATGGTGTATCGTAGCCGCTCGAAAGCTTCGAGGGTTGCATAGACGTAGTCTCGACAGCATTTGGCTCTATTGATGATGACGATGTGCAGATGGGAGCTAGGGTGGCACACACGCACTGGACATGCTGCTGAGTCCCTCGCTCTTTCCCTCTGCAGCGTCCCTAGAAAGTGAGCATGGGTCCCCTGTCTCCGACCCACGCGCGAACTGCCGCTAGTCAAGCAATTGGCGCAGTCTATCTGCGGGGTCAGGGTTAGGGTTACCGTAGTGTCGGGTTTAGGAACGTTCCTAGATAGCGTTCCGAAGGCGGCGGAATGGTCCGGATACAGGCTTCGGAACTTCCGTCGTCCATTCCGTAGTGCAAACGCCGCGAACGCCGCGCGGACGAAGCGTCCAGGGTCCAGCAAGGGTCCATAACAGCACCGACATGAGTACGAGTAATGATGGCAACATGTTGGGCATGTGGCTGGCCACTCACGCCGCACCTCCAACATGCACATGCTCTGCCCTCGACCTTACAGCGTCAGTCGCCAATTGACGAGTGCATTCCAAATTCACAACCGCATCAACACTCGCGCAGTCACTCAACACCACCACGCCTTCTCAACTGCAACTCCTTACCAATCCCACAAACCCACACAACCATGCCGCCCAAAACGCATTGTAATCGGCATAACCGGCGCAACAGGCACCATCTACGCCGTCCGCCTCCTCGAAATCCTACGTGACCTATCCATAGAAACACACCTGATAATGAGCAAATGGGCCCATACAACTCTCAAATACGAGACCGACAGGACAGAAGCCGAAATCCATTCCCTCGCCTCCAGAGTCTACACGGCACGCGACATGACGGCTCCAATTGCCAGTGGATCCTTCCTGCACGACGGCATGATCATAGTGCCCTGTAGCATGAAGACGCTCGCCGCTGTGCGCATAGGCTTTTGCGACGATCTGATCTCACGCGCCGCTGATGTGACGTTGAAGGAGCGCCGGACGCTGATGCTGGTGCCGCGCGAGACGCCGCTGAGCGATATCCACCTGGAGAATCTGTTGGCGGTAAGGAGGATGGGGGCTGTGGTTTTCCCGCCCATGCCTGCATTTTATACGCGGCCGAAGAGCCTGGAGGAGATGGTGGAGCAGAGTGTTGGGCGCATGTTGGATAATTTCGGCATTCATACTGATGGGTTTGAGAGGTGGAATGGTTGTGATTGGAAGAATAAATGAGAGCTGGGTACATTGAGCCTTGGGATAGATACCTGTACATTTTGCAATGAAACCCTTTTGAGAATCAAGGGCCCATATGCTGTGATTTCCGCACCTTAATGCCATGTCTGAATGCATCCCGTACCGGACGGGCTAATACTCGATTTTCCCCATCAAAACTATCGCAAAGATGAGGTTATAGAGCTTCATACAAGATCTCTTACCCCAACATTTCTGGTAGAGATAATGTAGTGAATTAAACGAGCAACTCTATCTATCGGAACTTTCTTTGAACTTGATATCACCGCGCAACGTGAGCGAGTAAAGCAATCAAGTGAGTAGGGATTAAATTGTGATTTTGTGATGTTCAAAGCTATTTCAAATAAGATCTTGATTCGGTGGAGAGCTGCGTACACTAAGTTCATCTATATATCTTGTAATATCGATTGCTGGTTGTAGGTGAGAAGCCCAACATTTTCAAGCCTTGACGTAGTGTGAGGATGATTTACATTGATATTAGCGCGCGAGCGTTCTTTAATCAATCCAAAACCTTTCCGCAATTTAGGTGAATACAATTTTTCGCTAGGATTCGAAACAGCGATAAGTTCAAGTGTAGCGTCGATATGCTCCATTCGAAGTGGTTGCGGTGTGATCGGGTGGGTAGTGATGGTGGTGGTGGTTGGTGGGGTGGAGCGAGCATTGACCCATCCGGTACGGTATCCGCGGCCAATCCGTGAAATGCAAATCATTTGCGTCACTAGAATGTGACGTGATCTCAACACCGGGCGGCTGAAACCCTTCCGTAGGCTGTCATGGAAATTTGGTTCCAGAAGGAAATGTACTCCCACGTGTCGAATCTGGTGCTTCGAGCCCTTCCGCCACGGTACTCCACCTACTTCCGCCCCACAGCCCCGTGGCCGTAGGGACGAGCTAGAATTGAGTTGCTCATATAGTTTCGGTAGCCACCAAAGTTTATTTCAGTAAGATTCCAAGTGAAAACATCACCAGTTGTGGCCTGATACGCTTTCCACTCGTACCCCATAAGTCCCAAGGCTCCGTTCCGATACACTACCATGGCCGACGCTGACCAAACTCCTCTTCCTCTTCCTGCCACTTCTCTAACGCGTCTTGCTCCTGGTGTGATACTTTCTCAGCCATTGTCCCGTAAAGGTTCAGGACCCGGACTCATTGTAATTGTAAATGAGTCAGGGGCTACAGATGACACGACTTTGCGCATCGAAAATGGTGTTCCATCACCGCTCATGAAATGGGGAGAAGAGAGTTACACAGTTGTAGAGCTTCTTGAGGAAGCCTTCTTCGAGGGCAAGGACCCAATAAGTCTGGCCGTCTCAGAGCTGTCAAAGGCAGAGAGGTGTGAGCCGAAGAATGCAATTGGCGTCATCGGTATATTACCCGAGTCCAGGTCTGCGCATTGCATTGCTAATTTGGATGGCAGCGTACGATCTAAAGCTTTGGAACCGCGCAGCACCATATCTTACATCACACTCCTCAATCGTCGGCGCCGTCGTGTACGCAAATGCAGCAGAGCACCACAAGCTCGCCATAACCTCCGTCCCCGTCCTGCAACACATGGCGGGCAAGATGCGCAAGCCGCCTCGGACCGAAACCCGTGTCGTCCACGACTACCCCAATGCGAAGTCTTATCTCTTTGCTACGCCCTTCCAGCCAGAGTTTGATTACAACATGGAGTCAGTGTCGCACACGCGGAATCTGTCATTCCTAAAACCGCGCATGAATGGTCCGTGGTTTGATCTCGAGGCGATTTGGGACGAGCATCAGTACTGGGAGTTTGAAGATCGGTCGGTGCCGAAGACGATGGCGACCATGGTGCAGGAACCATATGTCAATCATGTGCCTACGGTATGTTTCATTGCGCGGCGAAAGCATGTTGCGACGTATCGCTGACGTGCGTAGCTCACGGGAGGCATTGGACGAGAGGCACTTACAGATTTCTATACTAACCATTTCGTCTACTCAAATCCCAAGGATGTCGTGACGGAGTTGATAAGTCGTTCCATGGGTATCGATCGCGTCATCGATGAGTTCATCTTCAAGTGCACACATGACGCGCCGTTGGATTGGCTGTGAGATGTCGCCCGTCTCGAAACGTGATTGTCGCGCCGCTGACAAGTTGTAGAATACCCGGTATACCTCCGACAGGCCGCAAACTTGAAATCCCCTTTACGGCGGTTGTCAACATTCGAGGCGACCGTCTTTACCACGAACACATCGCCTGGGACCAGGGTACTGTGCTGGCTCAGTTGGGTCTATTGCCAGAGTACTTGCCTATACCGTACGCTCTGCCAAGCGGGCAGAACCAGGACGGAAACAAACTCGAGTATAAACTACCCGTCGCGGGGATTGAAACGGCACGAAAGATGCAAAATAAAGATGCCGTCACTTCAAATGTCTTGCTCAGCTTCCAGGTCCGCAACAAGAACGCATAGCTGGTCGAAGAGAGACGCAGTTTGGTGTCATGGGATCACAGCATGTCCAAGTTTGAATGGTTACCAATCCGGGAACTGCAGGCCTCTGCTTAATGTACATAGGGTAATACACTCATACACACTGACTCGCAACCTCGTTGCTGGGCCAATCTGGCCAAAACATATCAATATCATTCCACCACATACCATTCATTGTGTCGTCCCCCATAGTATCATCCGCGACTTGCAGAAATTCCCCCTGGTCCAGGAACGTGCCCATAGCACCACCGACGGTATCTCCCTTCTCACCCAGTCCTCTTTGAATCGGGAATCTTTGTTGCTGATTCTGCTGCGGTTGCAAAGTTCGATCAAGGGCGGTCTCAATTGGAGGAGGTTGGAGAAAGTCAGGTCGAGCTAGTTGCTCCTCCAAATGACGCAGTCTCTTCGCAAGTCTGCAGGAACTCTGCGATATTGTACTGTATGCTGTAGCGAGAGCCAATGCACGTTCCACCTCCCGTTTTACTAAGCCAGGAAAAGGCTCCAGCAAGTCGGCGGACTGCATGATGACCACCCGATTGCGGTCCGCGCGAACGTAAGCCACCACTAAGAAAAGAAGTGCACACGAAGAGCTGAGGAAATGCTGAAAGAATGGATGCTGGGTTTTGTAGACGTCGGTTGTAGAGTTCAGCATAGAGAGTACACCGATGGTGTCGGAGATGATGTTCATACTGGGTTTGATCATTTTGACGCTGACGTTGGAGTGCGAACCTGAAAGAAAGAATGGACGAAGGATGATACTCCGGAAAGCATTGGCACGCAAATAAAGTAATGTGGCCACGGGTGACGGAGGTTTTGAGGGGTCTACTGTTGGCTTTACACCAACAGCCGTCTCAGGGGATGGATGGTAGATACCATGGCCGTCTATGGCCTTCTTCAGCCATTGGTCAATCTGAAAATTGAGTAGTTCGAAGGCGTCATCCTGTTCATAAGTTGCACCGGCAGCGACTCGGTGTATGGGTACTTCGAACTTCGGACTCATGAATGTGTATGAGATCATCGCTCGAAGGTACCATGCGTCCTCCTATGATGCCTGAAGTCAGCAAGAAAATTCGTCTCAGGGCAAACCCAACATCGCTCTTGGGTCTTGAAGATGACATGACTTACCGGAGGCTCTATGGATTGATCAAAATCCGATTCCTGAAAGTTTTGAGGCAAGCCAGTAGCTGCACTCCATTGCCTGTCCAAGATGACTATGCTCCAGATGAGAGCGCTAATTCCAGTGCGTTGCTTCTCGTCTCGCAAAAGATGGCGATGGACGTCTCGGCGGTGAAGCCCAAGTTCCATTGCCATGCGCCCCGAAATTCCGCACACTCGCCATGCCAAACGCGTGTCACCAGTAAAAAAGTGGTAAATAGACTGGTCGCGATTCCATCATGTTAGCGAATGTATCACTTGCTGAGTAAAACGGAAGGCTTACCGCCAGTAATGCTATCAGAACATGATCTAGACTTGACACTTCGGATGCTAATTTCAGCTTGATCAGGTGCTCCACACCTTTGTACAGTGTTTTCCCCACATGCGATTGTGAGGCTGGTTCGGCAGCAAGTGCAATCGAAAGCGCCAGGTATAAAATCAGAATGGTGTCTTCGTGGAGAATTGAGGCATCAGATGTGGGTTTTGAATGGAACACATAACAGGCCTCAGCTTGCTCGACAAGCCGCTTTGGATCCAGAATAGGATGAAGGCGGCCGATGACATTATGGTAGACGTTCAGGAGGCGCAAAGCGTCGTTTCTGGCAATGAGCCATGGCAATTGAGCCAGGCATTGGCGTAGCCTAGTTTTGGCAAGACGCTCTTGGACGGCAGACCCGTGACTTTCATCTTGGATCAGAGTGCGCTCGTCGTCATCAGTCTGGTCATCTTCCAGGCTGGGGTTGGTCTCTTCTGTGATAGTGGGGCCGCCAGGAGGAGCTTGGGCCAGTCGCAGCTTGATTGTAGCAGCATTAAGACTATAGTCAGGACTTGTCGGGCCGTAAAAGCGACGAGTGGATGGCTTTGATGTATTTGCGACGGCTACTGTGGGAGCATCAGACGTTGATGTTGGGTTCGCGTTGATCTGAGCGTCCCTGGAAGGTGGGATGGCAGAGCCCGAACCTTCGAGGGCCGTGTTCTGCCGGGGAGCCGCGCTCTGCCGGGGGAGCGCGGGATCTATTGCAACGACTGGTGAGGTGTGTAATTCGTTGGACAACTCCATGTGTGTAACGAGACTATCAAGCTGTGCTTGCAGCGCAAGTACGACACGAGAGATGGACTCGCCCTTGCTAAAGAGCATGCTGGGTTAGTGGCAAGGGCAACTTGAAGGCGAGCACGAAGGGAACATACGCGTTCACCCCCAACGCATTGGTTGGCAACATAGGAGGTGCAGCAACGGCAGAGTAAGAAACAGCAGAATCCTCTTGCTGCGAAGGTTCGTTTGTGGGCTCTTGGTCGGCGGTGTAGCGACACTCCAAAGCACGCGAGCGACAGAAGTCGCAAGGCTTACGGCCGTCACATCTGCCTTTGCGTCGCCGGCACACATCGCAGGCTCGCCATACGTATCGAAGGCGACGTTTACGCGATGTCCCGGCGGTGTTCTGTTGATCCATGGTCGTCGAGGGGCGTTTTGGCGGCGACGGGCTCATTGTGCTGGATTGTAGACAGCGGGATGGGACCTTTTGGGGGATGTATCTGGGTTGGTCTCGAGACTCGAGAGATAACAATCGGGCCTCCTCCACACTCGCTGCTTATCGCCATGATAGAGCCAGGCCACAATGGACACATGGACTGGCCAGGGTGAGGCTGTCGCTTGTGTCTGAGAAGGGCGGGGGTGAGCCGCGCGGGGTAAGTACCGAGAAAGCACCGGAGACGCGGCAGGGTCGCCATCTAGTGTAGTGTAGTATAGTGTACTTGGTGTATCGTGCATGCATACACTAGTCAATCAGTCACGTGCATGAATCCCTTCACTTGTGCACGGACCATGTGCTGTCCGGACTTGTGCCGGACCAGGGCCGCCGGAGAGTGTCTCGCCTCTGCAAATCCACCCTCACTGCATACATCCCATCCCGCCGTTCGGCACGTGACGGCGTCTTTCCTGCGGAAATGGCACGACCATCACCCTGTCGAGGTTGGGCCCACCGCAGCCTCGACAGCATCTCTTAAAGCCAGTCGGCGCCGTTCTGGCAGTCATCGCACATCACTGCATCCCGTCTTCTTTACCTACTCAGTCCACCCACCTCTTACCTAATATGGCCTTGTACACCTACGACACACGCCCCAGCTTCTCTTCTGATGTCCTTGTCCGGGGCACACCAGAATACGATCGCTGTCGTCGCAATAACCCCAGTGCAACAACACCAGACCGCTATCCACGCGAGATACATGTGGTCAAGTCACCCAAACAAGTCTCGGCAGCTCTCCAACGAGCCACTGAACTTGGTGTCACCGTCGGTATCCGTGGCTCCGGCCATGCCTTCCCTCTGAGCGCACTGATTGAGGACGGCATACTCATCGACACTTCCAGCTTGAACCGCTATGTTGATTATGATCCCCACTCCCGTGAGATCTCTTTTGGTCCTGCTGTCCGTGTAGAGGAAGTCGCAGCAAAGCTTGCAGAGGTTAAGCGCTTCTTTCCTCACGGCCACGCGCCTACTGTCGGCGCCGCAGGCTTCTTGTTGGCGGGAGGACAAGGCTGGTTTGTGCGAGGTTGGGGAGCCACATGCCAGGAATGGATTACTCAGATGGAGATCGTGGTCCCCGATGGCCGCATTGTCATTGCGAGCCCTACAGAGAACACTGACCTGTTTTGGGCCGCGAGAGGCAGCGGCTTGGGCTTCTTCGGTGTCGTAACCAAATTCTGGGCTCGCACAATTCCTAGCTCTCAGCTCTGGGAACGGACTTTTACTTTCCAGCTCCGTGATAAGTACGAGACCTTGCTGACATGGTTCTTCGAAAAGGCCGAAGATACCCCCAAGTATGGCACCGATCTCAATCTCACTATCTTCTATCCGGAAAAGTACGACAACACCATACTCACGGATGAAATACCCAAGACGTCTCAGCTACACCTCGGTCTCAGTCTCTTGTGCTATTCTGACACTGAACGGGAAGCTCAGACCCTGCTGAGTGCTTACGACGACGTTCCCGAGAGTGTGAAGGACTGCTTGGTCGACATGCGCCCTGTTTCAAAACGAGAATTCACCGACATATTCGACAAGAAGCGCGAATTCATTGGGAATAAGTACGGTGAGAACTGGCAGATTCTCAGTCTGCTCAGCGAACCAACCATTCCCATTCCACGAGTAAGTGTTGGAGTGTGAACAACTATACATCCTCACTGACAACTTTCAGCTCATTGAAGCCCTGAAGCCTGCTCTCACTGAGCTCGAAACGCGCATCACCTCGGTGTTTATCTGCATTTGCGATATCGTCGCCAACGAGAAGGTCGCTTCTTTGAGCATCCCACAAAAGTACTACATTTCTACCGTCACAGGCTGGCTCGACCAAAAGAAGGGGCCTGCGATCAAGCAACGGATGTTAGAGAGATACAAGCGCGCTCTACCAGTCGCATGTGGCACATATCCTGCAGACTACGATCCCAACGTTGAAGACGCAAATGTAAGCCGGGCCTGAAACCCACCTCACTGCTGCTATAATCAAACTGACAACATAAACAGAGCAAACCTATGTCTGACACCGCACTCGCCAAGTTCCTCAAGATCCGAGCCAAATGGGACCCCAATGACATGTTCCCCAATTACAAGCAATTTATCAAAACAAACGAGAAGATCAACAAGCTTTTGACCAAGCCTTCGCTTTAGGCACTAATGATGGATGGAGGCAGGGACTTTGTTTCCCTTTTCCCAATTTTTTCTTGAATGCTTTGGAAGGCGAAACGATCAATCGTACAAAGACCATAGTTAGCCAGATGTTACGAAGGCGTGGGTGAGCTTTGACTCCCTGAAATGTGTCATCAATCTTTTCAAATCAGCAGTTCCATATACGTCGTGAACTTGAATCCTTGAAACTGAGAGCTATGCCTCTGGATATTTTTGTCGCATTACTCAACACGACCTTTGCGCACATAGTATCAGTCACTTGACGATCACTTTGATAGTCAGTTACGCCCCTTGCAAAATGTGCATGCATAGAATCAATTGCTTTTCCTGAATTATTCATCGATTGCAGAAATCAACGCCTGACAGACAATGATCAAATTGAACAAGCCAGGCCAGGATGCAATCCAGTAATTGTCCAACTCTTCTAGACAGCACTACGGGCTTGTTCAGTCGTACTTGGCCATCTATCGAGAGGCTTGTGTAAAGCCCATGTCAAGTTTCGAACCAGGCTTGCTGGTACTAGCCTGCCCTTCACATCCCATCATGCGGCGTAAGCAGAATCCAAACAACTATCCAAAGGCCTCGTCGACAGATCCCGAATTTGCGCTCGTCTCTACATCGTTGGACTTGTCCGCGGTCGCTTCCTCAGCACTGAACCAAGCGGGTCGCGGACGGCTTCCGCGAAGGATTGCGAAGGATTGCGCGGAAGGAATACCGCGTAGACGGGAACTACCATCAGCTCCACTTTTCCGCCGGCATGCTCCTTGTAGGAATATGCGCCATGGCCATTATTGAAACATGGGCCAAGCCGCCGACAATATCGGAACGCCCAATTCCGCAAATTCCGCCGCCGCCGCAAACAGTTGTGGTAAGTCCGGTCTAGCCTGGACGATTAGCAAGGTTGCTGTGATTGGTGCACTGAATTGAGCGTCTGGATTTGGTAGTTGTGAGCATGGATTGGAAATGCTCAGTCTCTTTCGATGTGAGAACCTAATTCAGACCTAAAGCATTGTTGACATCTAGACGAACGATATACCAAAATACACAGCAGTGACATCATTCTATTTCCATCCAGTTCGAAATCATGGCTGAATCCATCGAAACTAGGCTCTTCATTAACAATGAGGTACTGATTATCACAACCCTATCTAGACACAACTAATCACGCGATACCAGTTCCGGAATGCTCGCTCTGGAGAGTCGTTTACCGTTAAACGATCCTACGACGACTCCATCATCGCAGAGAATGTTCAGATTGCTGGCGAGCAAGATGTCAACGACGCCGTCGACGCAGCTCATGCTGCATTCAAGCACTGGCGCAGGACGCCGGCCCCCGAGCGTGCAAAGTGCATGCTCAAACTCGCCGACTTGATCGAGGAGAATCTGGAGTGGCTTGCTGAGCTTGAGACAGCTGCAATGGGCGCCCCGATCTCAGCTACCAAGTGGATTGCATCCACAATGCCAACGTGGTGGCGTTACTACGCTGGCTGGACCGACAAGCTCGGCGGCGAATCTCTTGAAGACCTCGATGGCTCGTACAGAATGGTTCGATATGAGCCATTGGGCGTATGTGCGGGCATCGCCTCCTGGAATGCCACCCTCTTCTACCTCTCCTGGAAGATTGCTCCAGCCGTAGCAGCCGGCAACACCTTCATCTTCAAAAGCTCAGAGAAATCACCTCTCGGTGCCCTTCGTTTCGCCGACCTAGTCCGCCGCGCAGGCTTCCCACCTGGCGTCATCAACCTCGTCACTGGCTTTGGCCAAACCGGCGGCCTCCTCGCTTCCCACCAAAAGATTCGCAAAATCAGCTTCACGGGATCTACCATGACAGGCCGCAAGATCCAAGTTGCGGCCGCAAACAGCAACCTCAAGCGCGTGACGCTCGAACTCGGCGGGAAATCCGCCGCCATCGTCTTCGATGACGCAGACATCGACGAGGCCCTCACGCACATGTCCCAGACCTTCCTGCTCAACTGCGGCCAAGTCTGCGCCGCGACTTCGCGCCTCCTCGTCCAGGACACCATTGCAGAATCCTTTGTCGCAGAGCTCAAGACACGGTTCCAGGGCTTCGCAAACGCCCTCGGCGATCCCAGTGACCCAAACACCTTCCTTGGCCCCATCGCAGACCGCATGCAACGCGAGCGCGTAACCTCCTTCATCGACGCCGCCCGCACCGAGAACCTCAACATCCTGGCAGGTGGCCAGTCCCAAGGACCCCAGAACCAATTCATCCAGCCAACCATCATCCTCGACCCGCCATCCTCGAGCACGCTATACCGCGACGAGATCTTCGGGCCCGTGCTAGTCATCAAGACGTTCAAGTCTGAAGTCGAGGCCATTGATATGGCGAATGATTCCGCCTACGGGCTTGGGGCCGCGCTGTTCACCAAGGATGTGGCGCGGGCGCTGAGGTTGTCGTCGGACCTCGAGTGCGGGTTTGTGGGCATCAATATGCCAATTACGCCCTCGGCGTATACGCCTTTTGGAGGGGCCAAGGAGAGTGGATATGGTAGGGAGGGCGGAAGGATGGGATTGATGGCCTATTTGGAGCCAAAGACTGTAGCCATTGCTATGAAGCCGAGATTGTAGGTGGCTTCTTTGTGCAGCTAGTTACTCAAATTTGACCCTTCTCTTACGATACTGCTCTCGTGCTAGTGAGACCTTGGGCTGGTGTATATGATGTAGACGTATTCGGCTTTCGTTGTTGCTCATGTAGTGTGCTTGACGAGTCCTTGTCGGCTTGATCGAGAGTATTTTCCAACATCCTAAGTGCTCACGGACGCACGCTTGCTCCGGCAAAAGGCACTTGACCAAGTTGCGGAAATCAAGGAAGATCTTGAGATGGTGTTCAAGGGGATGGCCTCTCGACGAATGTGGCAAACATCATGATAATACATTAACAACCCCTATCCAAAGCATGTAAGCCAAACAGCCCAAGGTACATCCTAAAATCATAACGAGACACTAGAAATATCCCCTTAAAGATATAATCTTCCATCACTCCCTCACAGCCATACCCTGCAAAACAAGCGTCGGTCCCGTATACCTCTTTTTGGACCTAAACAGATAGTCGATCGTAACAAGTATCAACACGCCCCCCAGCACCGTACTCGCATAATTCATATTCTTCGACGTGACGGGCTGCGCCGTCGGGAATAGCAAAAATACGCTCGTAAAGATCAGAAAACAGATCGACAAGGCATTCACCAAGATGCCTGCTTTCCCCAGCTTGAACGGCCCCGGCACGAGCATCTGTGGCGTCATGAGGCGACGGTAGAGCATAAGGATGATGGGCATGAGATAGGAGAGGTTAAGCCCGACGACGGTGAGGGAGAGGATAGCGGCGAAGGCAGTCGAGGACGCGATTTGCAGCGCGCCCAATAGGATGATGATGGCCGTGGACACCAACAGCGACGTCACAGGAATCTGGCTCTTACTTCCCAGGCGCCCCAACGCCGTAGAAAACGGGGTTCCGCCGTCGCGGGCGAACGCCCAGAGGATGCGGGATGTCGCGGTTAGAAGGCCGAAGGTGGCCAAGGAGGCGGAGATGATGATCGTGGAGGTCATTGCGCTGGCAGCGGCCTTATTGCCGCCTGTGACGCGGGTGAAGATGTGGATGATGGGGAAGGGGCCAGAGGCGAGAGCTGCGTCGAGAGGGCCCATGTAGAAAAGGACCGGGAGTAGGACGGCGAAGCCCATGGCGCCGTTGATGGCGATGGAGAGGAGCATGGCTTTGGGAATGTTGCGGGCTGGGTTGGGGATTTCTTCCGACATGTGGGTTGCAGAGTCGTAACCTTTACATTTATGAGTTAGCGATCAAACCATTGTGAAGGTGGTCGGGGTGCGTACCTATCATCACGTAACAGGAGGTCAACATTCCGAGAAACCAAGCGACGCCATCAGAGCCCCAACCCGTGCTGTTGCGGAACTCGGTGAAAACGAATTTCGCACTGTTTGCTTCTGGCTTCAAAGCCAGCAAAGCAATGAAGATGATGAAGAAGAAACCAACATGAAAGGCGAGAATGGCGTTCTGGATGTACGGCAAGATACGGTTGCCCCAGAGGTTGAATGCAAGCGCTACCAGGGTAATTCCCCAATAGATACAGCTATTTTGCCATGGCTTGGACACAAAATCAGGATTGGAGAGCGAGATTAAGCCCAAGGTGAGATTGGCTGCTCCAAATGGAGCAGATGCTGTGAAAGCGTGCCATCCCAGAACTGTAAGCCATCCACAGTACCAGCTGACTGAGGCTCTGATTGATGGCGGGCTGAGTTCGGCAACGAACTGATACTGGCCGCCTGCGGAAGGGAACCTGATGGGAAATCGTCAATGAAGGTCGAATGATATGGCACTAGTGCTACTCACATGGCTGCAGCCTCAGCCAACGACATACTGGTCAACATGTTTCCAGCAAAGGACACTACGCGAAATTGTTAGTATCCAACTTTAGTGCACTTTTTGGAAAGCGTACCGATATATCCATAGACGAGAGATACTGGTCCGCCGCTAACCAGACCAGATCCCATTGTACTGCAAAGTGCCTCCCATGTCGCCATCAAAGACACAGCAAGTGCCATCATGGAGAAGAATCCATACACTTTCGGTGGCTGTGGAAATCAGCAATTCAGTTCGCCATGAGTTGATGTTACTGGCAATAACTCACCTCGGCATGCCCAGCCTGCATGTCAACATTTGTAACCTTGCCGATGCCATGATCATCATCACCACCCTTGAGTTCGAACATGGCCTCCTTGTTGCTGGGGTTTGTAGGATACAGCTTCAGCCTCGAAGCCGAGAGTTCATTCGAAGCACGCTGCGGCGTCTGCATGTCGGCACAAAAACTACACAGTCACCTCAGCGAAGTGAGGGAGTCTGTAGAAGAAGAGATGGCCGTAGTGCTGACCAGCGACACGGTTATAGGGAGGGGATGTTACAAAGCACGTGACGGCGCTATACGCGGCCGTTCCGAACAAGCGCTCGACTTATCCTAAAGAGGCAGAGCTTATCAAGAAACCTCGAGTCAGTCCTGCGACAGATAATGTGGCAGGCCCATGAACCCTTGAAAAGATTGGGGGTTTGTGCGTGGGGTCCGACGTAGATACGCAGCTTTGTGCTCCAACTTCGGAAACTGCTTAGCAGGGCGTCAGCAAAATGGGTAGCCTGCAGACAGTTTGCTGCGGGTGGGCATATACGACGGAAACATGGCTGGGATTACAACAAGGTTTATTACAGCTATTTTGCATATCAGCTCAGAATATAAGCGTCTATATTTATTACTATTTTAATTACTGAAAGGAGACAAGATTTTCGTTCTGTTTTTGACCTATATCCTATATAGAACAGTTCTTAAGCATTGCAATGGATAATTCATAGCATATAGCTCTATAGCAGAAAATCGCAAAGAAATATATAAAATTCCTATTAGTAGAGGGGGAAAACAGCAATTGAATGGTATGATAGGGGAAGAACGCTTGTAGTATAGAAAACTGAGTAATCCAGCATTTGTTACTTGGATAGGGACCCCTATATGCTCCGTCGAATGTGACCGGGCGCAGTACACAAGCGGAAACAACGGTTGCGGGGCCCGCTGCAAGACAGCCCAAATGAAGGCCCGGAAACGGGGACTAAGTACAGCAAATGGACCGACTCTTAGGCTTCGCCCGGGGAATCTCCCCTTCATAGTATGTATCTTCTGGTACTAGTTAAGCCACCCCCGCATTTGATGATAAATGAGGGTATTGCTGGTTACAAGGGGCGGAAGGTCTAGGCCTACTTGTTAAACCTTCTTGACGCTTGGCTGGCGGCTTGGAAATGTGGAGGTCGGACCATACCTACACCCACGGTGGCGATATGGGAGCACAGACTTCACGTCTACTCAACGCAGTGTTTTCAGGTGTAATACTAGCCAACGTGGATGGGTCCGTGGAAGAAACTTGTATTTCACATCGTCGTTGAATATAGTCAATAGAAGTGTGTTTACAAAACGCTCAAAATGTTATTCTCACTACTTCTGAGTGCTATCTAGCCAAGTGACAGTCTTATACTGGACGAACTCCTCGAGCCCTTGCTTCCCGTTAAACCTTCCAAACCCGCTCTTCTTGAACCCACCGTGTGGCAGAGCAAACTCATCATGCACAGTCATTGTATTGATATGAGCAGCTCCAACATTCAGTTGCCTTGCAACCCGAAGGCCAGCCTTCAAATCCTCTGTGAAGACGGCACCAGCTAGTCCATATTCTGTATCATTACCCAGCGTGATGGCTTCTTCCTCTGTGTCAAAGGTGTATAGCGATGCACTTGGGCCGAATGACTCTGTGCCATAGATGTCCATGTCGGGAGTGACGTTGCCGAGGACGACTGGAGACATTTTCGATTCGACGTTGGTATCGACTACAGCGGGGTTACCGTAGATGAGTTTGGCGCCCTTGTCCAGTGCGTCTTGTAAAAGTATTCTGTTCTTCTTTGCAGAGGCGTTGGTAATGACGACTGGGCAGTTGTTTGCAGCACCGAAGGTCTTGCTGATGGCTTGCTTGAGTTGCTCCTTGAAAGCATCCGCGATGGACGAATGGACGAGGATGCGCTCGGTAGACATGCATATCTGGCCAGCCTGTTGCAAAAATGTCAGAAACAGTCGAACGGCTTAGCTCATTCATAAAAGCGTCACTTACATTCAAGAAGGCACCCAGCGCGCATTGCTCCGCGGCGTTCCTGAGATCAGCATCCTTGAGGACAATGGCACTTGCCTTGCCACCCAACTCCATAAGCACTGGCTTGAGATGCTTCCCAGCAATAGAAGATATCACACTTCCCACGTGCGAGCTTCCCGTAAAGTTAACTTTGCGCACAGCCGGATGAGCAATCAGTGACTCTGTAATCTTGGGAGCATCAGCAGGTCGGTGGAACAGGAGATTGAGTGCACCATCCGGCAACCCGGCCTCTCTGAAGACATCTGCAATAGCCCAGTAACACCGCGGCGACAGCTCTGGGCCTTTTAGAATCGCAGTATTGCCCGTGGCGAGCGCGAATGTGACTGCACGGAAGCCTAGGTGATAGGGAGCATTCCTGTCGCACGAACAAAGCATCAGCCTGGTTCGTAGTATTCGAGGTGCAGTGTAGAGTACAAAAATTTAGAAAGGTGTTGCAACTCACCAAGGGCCGATTCCTAGCACAACACCATAAGGCTCGCGATAAACAATAGCATGCGCACCATCCTGCATCACGTGAGGCACAAAGCCCTGCACCGCGTCTGGAATCCTCCCAGCCGTGTCCTTCAGCCCTTCAATAGACAAGCCCAGAATAAAATCTTGATAGTACTGGTCCGCTCCAATCTCGTGGTGCATGTAATCTCCCAGCTCCCTCTTGCGTTTGGTAATAATGTCGGCAGCTCGCAAGAAAATGTCTCGACGGGCTGACGGTTTGGTCTGCGACCATGCCGGGAACGCCTTTTCGGCTGCTTCGACGGCAGAAATGGCGTCCTTTTCTGAACACGATGAGGAATTCCAGACGTGTTTTCCGGTGGCGGGGCTCTGGACTTCGAAAGATGTGTTGGTTGTTACATCTTGGCCGTTAATGATGAGGGGGATTTGGTATGCATCACGACTTCGCAAAGATCCTGTCAAGTGGAAGGATCGAGATTGCTGGTAGTTTCTGCAGAAGGCTCTGGGCAGCTGCCCTGATGTCCTGAAAAGTCGCATCATCTTGTTCTCTGCGTGCAATGGGTTGAATGGCTGTGGGAAGCTGCAAGGGCTCAATCACATTTATTGTTTTTGAAGTCTGCAGTTGCCCATGATGATAGACCAAACCCTGGATTGTTCATACCCTTGATCCTTGATCGGCCGTGTTTTAGCGATTCGCGGTCATTCGTAATGCCGTTTCGGGGTGGTGGACGTGGCTCTTTGCATTCCGGAAGCCGCGCGCTCCTTCCGCGTAGCGTTCCGTCGCATTTTAGAACATGCGGAGAAGGCGCTTGGGTGTTGAAGACCCAATCATGAGCACTACACACACTCGACACAAAGATACCATCAAGTCTTTCGCTCCACGTTGTGACATTGGATCTAATCTTGTCCATGGTTGCCATTGAGTGTTTCGGAATCTACAAAAATACTACTGAACATCACCAAGACACACTGCAAATCGCCCCAAAATTCCTTAGGCCTTGACGCCGTTCGTACCCCTTCGAGCAGCTAGTTTCTCCGCCACGTCTTTGTGCATATCGTACCTGTATTCTGCGTCAGCAAAGACATTCTCTTTAAATAATACTTAGTACTCACGTGTTCATCTCCTCAATTGTGAGTTTGTTCTTCTCATCCGCAACCGTGTAATGAGGATCGTTCTTGTTGCTGGAGAAGCCAATGCGCTCATGGATGTTCTCGCTCGCTCGCGCCGAGGCTGCCTGCACCTTTGTTCCTCTCGGCTTCCTGACCTCTTCGAAAACTTCAAGAGCCTCGCGAATGTTACCGTTGAAATTCTTTTTGCTGAAAATCGTGCCAAGAGCTCCGGCGTCCTCGATGGACTGGCAGGCTCCCTGACTCTGATCAGGCATCATCTGCATATATTTAGCGTTAATTCATTCAGCAATGGTAGCTAACATACCGGGTGTGCGGCATCTCCAATGATGCAGGCCACTCCTTTCTGCCAGTACGGGTACGGCTGGTGCTTCCAAAGCCTCCATGGTCGGATCTCGTAGCCAATTTCCAAGTGCTTGAACACCTGGCGATCTAAGTCTGGATACGGTGCGAGCAACTCTGGGAGGGTGGCAGCCTCGTCCCAAGATTGATTCTGGAAGTCACCCGCTTCACGCGGGAAGAAGCAGTAGTAAGAGAGAAGTTTTCCACCATTGCAAGGTGATAGGACAATCTTGTAGTGCGAGTGATACCCACCCCAGTATTCGATTGCAGCGTTTTTTGAGTAGTCGACCAGCCCGAGCTTGACAGCCTCGTCAGTGTCTACGTTGGTGTGCAAGCAGCTCCAGGATGCTGGGACCTTGTCGACTTTGATGCCAAGTACATTCCGAACAGTCGAACCAATGCCATCGGCACCGATAATGACGTCGTGTTTGGCTGTCACGCCGTTCTCGAATGTGACCTCGCCAGTCTCGAGGTTGACGTCTTTGGCCTTGTGATTGACCTTGAGTTTTGCGGGCACGCCTTCTCCACGCTGGCCAACCGCACTATCCATAAGCATGGCATGCATGTACTGCCGGTGGAACATGTAGTAGTGCTACTGAACATCAGTCACTAGTCCCAGACGAGATGCAAACCACTTACATAGCCCCATTTTTCTTTGTAGTCATGGAGGTCATAGACACTTGCTGGTTCGCCAGTTTTCCAGTCGCGGCTAATGAGCTGCCTCAGAATTACCGGGTCGCCAAGTTCAATATTCACTCCCCATTCCTCGAGCCACCTTGTGCCATTTGCGGCGCACGATATGGAGGCCCCTACTTCTCCTGCAAAATCTGCGCGCTCGTAGATTGTCACAATGTGCCCTTGCCGTCGAAGGGCAATAGCAGATGCCTGACCTCCAATCCCTCCGCCAATGATGCCCACATTGAGGGCTCGCCATCCTGGTTGAGTCATGGTGTCTTGTGGTGGTTGAGGGATTTGTGTCAAGGGTCGACTCAAACTGAAATATGACTGAGCTTCAGCAGTGATAAAGATCCGCTGATGCGATGTTGAAGCAAATGTTTGCAGTTCTAAAGCATAAAATTATCGATTAACTTTGGCCTACGGGCTCTTGATATCCTCTCCAGCTTTGATGCCCCTCACGCGACCTCCTAGCCCACGGATCCAGGGTTTGGCGCGGCCGCCGACACCATACTTGGCCTGTCAT